TCTATTTAACGTGCATTGTCTAATTAATTGTGATTGATCAGTTATCACGATTAATCGGGATAAAAATTTGTATGTAAAGCAAATTATTAATTTTTACTGAACTCGTGAACCTCCTACTCCTCTCCCTTTAAATCAAATAAATGTTGTACATGACTCATGAAATATTTCATGACTAATTTTCGAGTTTATATGGTTAAAAGGGGCAAGGATTTTCGTCTTTTATTTTAAACCGTGGAATTTATTGTGAATTAATTAGTTTTTATTTGAAAAATGAGATCAAATGGTATTTTTTATTGTTTTAGGAAATTATTCATTTTAATGAACTAGTGGACCTCCTTCCAATTATTAAAATTGGTGAATGAAATAAATTGTGTTGGTGTTTTGTTTTTATTGTTTGGGGGCGGAGGCATTTTTAGGTCTTTATTTTTTGTTGTAACGCAAATACTCTGATATAAATAACTAAAAGACCGCCGAAAATACACGTTTCGAAAACAGAAATGTACAAGAAAAAATAGATATCAAGACAAGATACAATTGAAAATAGGTTGACATATTAATGTCATAGACCGTATGATTAACAATTATATGCCAAAGTATGATCGAATATGAATAATTCTTTAAAAACCCGTTACCCACAAATTATACTCCAAATTATTTGTAATAAAAATTTAATACATTGGTTAATAATTTCAAGAAATTTGTATGTAAACGCACTATAAGGGTTTACTATTAATAACAAATAAATTGGTTACTAAAAATGATGCTATTTTGTGCCCGGGAAACATGTTTCTCGAGCAAAACGTTGCAAGTACAGGAATAGATCTAGTATTTCCAACCCCGGCTGAATGATTAATAATATTCCAAAGCGTATAAGACCGTTTATACTTAATAAATCGCGTGAAATTTAACTGTCAATTTCATTGCATCAAATCGAATGTAAAAAATCCAATGGATTACATTTGACGTATAAGGAATGGAATTGACAGTCGAAATCCACACCTTCTAAAGTAAACGTACTGTATGCTTCATTTATGGGTATACCCCATTTACCACGAGTTGTCAAATTACTTATTGTGATTGTACAAAAGGAAAACACAAAAATAGCCAAAATTAACAAATTTGACATTTCGTCTGATTTTGAAAAAATGCAAAAGATGCAGGGCCATTTTAAAAGGATATCCGCGCGAATATATTTTTATTTTCGTATTGTACGCCACTGTTATATAAACGTAAACAAAAATTTTGACAATATAAGTGGGTTTCAATCAAAATTTTATTTTTTTGCTTGTTTAATGGACTTTGATTTGATGTAAGACCTAAGTAAAATTTTACCATGGGGTAACTATCTTTGGGCTTATAATTTTTAGTGTTGTAATTCACAATTGACTGTTTACTAAATAACGCGTTACGCCTTATAAATGTTAATACTGAAAACAGTAATGAAAGTAACAGTACGTTTACATGGATTTAGATTAAAATTGTCATATCCATTACTTATACTTCAAATAAATCCTCTTAAATTAGGTTAACCCTACAAAAAGTTCTAACGTAAACATGGCATTAAGCTGAAGGTTACAATTCACAATAGAGCAAAAAAATTAAAACAAAACATGAATCGTAATAATCAACAGGACAGCTGATATAACCACCCAAATTTATAATTGTAAAAAAAATAAACCATAGTAAAAATTGTTAATATTTTTTGTATAAAACCCAATTTAAAACGTTTCACAATAAATTACCTACTTTTGGTGTTGTTTATGTATCATCATGTGAAATACAGAGTATATGTTTTTGATTTCTTACTGCATTTTTGTCTTTCGTTGTCTTTTTGTTATTTTGATTTGATTGCTGATTGTTGTTTTAGTTTTGGGGTGAAGTATGGTAGGTAATAATTAAGACAATTTTGTTTGATATTATTTAATTGATTGATTTTGAGGGTTGCCGTTGAACGTTTTAGAGAGAACAGAACATAATATACGTTACGATTATAAAATACGCCATAAAACTAAACCAGACCTAAATCATCATTGCGTTGTTGTTGTACTAATTTGGTATTATTTGTAGGAGAAAAAATTAAAAAAAAGTATATGCTCACTAAAAGGTGATAGGGAATCACTGCGGGCAATGTGTGATGTGTTTACACAACACATCACTCGCGCCCTAAACAAGGTTTCTATTACAGTGAATAAAACGCTCAAACACCGTAATATAAACCATGTTTTAAAGAAATCTTCCTTTTCATCCCGAAAAAATGTTTGAATTTACACATGTTTTTATGATGTACGTTTGATTATGTTTTATATAGAGATAAATATTTTGATTTTTTTTTTGATGAAATTTGAATAGAGAGAGACAACAAAATTTTGAATTAGCATATTTGTTGTGGTGTTTATTGTTTGTTTTGTTTATATTTGTTGGTGCTCGATAATAAAAAAAGAACAATTGTTTGTGACCATTTTATTTCATACAATATTTTTTGAGATATATGTATATAATTTTTTTTTTCATTTCAACAGATCTATATAATTATTATTTACAACAAAACAAAAATTTAAATAAAAACTTATATTTTATGTGTGTTTTTGTAAAAGAGTTTAGTAAAAAAATGAATTGCAAAAAGCAAAAAGCCGGCCAAAAAACACAATTTAAATATATATCAAAAATACATAGCCAAAAAAATTCGTTTAGACAAAAACAAAAACTGTCTAAAAACAGAAAGCGGCGACGGCCATAAAAACACAATTACTTCAATGATTTTTACTTAAAATTAACTTTTAAAAAAACAATTTGTCATACTAACAACTATTTCATAATATTTTATATAAAAGATTTTACTCATTAATTTGCTGGTCAACAAAGCCTTGGGCGTTTTAAATGATGAGGCGGCAGCGTTTGGGCGCATTTAATATGTTTGCTTTGTTCATGCATTTTGCGCGCAGAGATTAATTCACAATAACAGTTTGTAAAGAACAAGTCGCGCCGGTGCATTGATCAGATGCGGCATATTTGTGTTTAATTGTTGGTGCTTAACTATATATATTTTGGTAGCTTTTCCGTTTTGTATTTTATTTTTCTCCTATGTCGTTGTTAATCCAAATACAAGACAATATATTGGCGCGCAATCATATGGCAATGTCATCAATTCACTTTAGCCGTTTCTTAAGCAACTCACACATGTGTGTGTGGGTGTCTACTGCAAATGATCTGAGAGATGACATCCTAGTGCTGGACAACACACAAACGTTTTGCACACAGTGTTGTGGCTTTCTTTATTTCTCTCCTCCTTAATTTTCATTGTCACTTTTTTTTAAAACCCACTCAGAAAAAACACAACACATGTCTTGTTTGATGTTTTAGCTCTCAATAGATGCTTACGTCTTTTTTTCGTTTTATTACGTTGCAACGTTTACTATGCATTACGTTACGTTACAAACATTACTTAATAACATACATATGTCTTATAATAAATTAATGAAAATATTAAGCAAATACTTTGATATTTGTATAAATAATAAATGTTGTTAAATATGTATTCTCTTTCTCTTACTGTAGAAGAACGCACTCTCTTGTGTCTCTGTTTGTTTATGCTCTGGCGGTCGTTTCTCTGGGTTATCACTGATGATGATGTTGCTGAGATAATGCTTTGTTGGATACAATTATATAATTCGATTTGGTGGCACATGCTAGCACTTCCATAATGTTTCCCCATCCTCCCCCTTCTCTCTTTCTCTTCTTCTTGTCCGTGGTAGTTTATGAAATTTAGAGCGCAAGTGCAACGTTTGGGGAGGAGGGTTGAGCTTTATTTTTTTTATTGCATTATTACTTTTCCCAAAATGTTTGTGGGTTTTTCATTTTTCGTTCTTTCTTGCTTTCTTTAATTCAGAATCCATCTCACAGAGGAGGAATCAGAGTTGTGTATTTTTTTTTTAATTTTTGTGATACGTCATAAAACTTGTTGTTTTATATGACTAATGTTTGAGTTTTTGGAATCTAAATTAGAAATATGGGGTGCTTGTTATAAATCCATTGAGTATTAGGTATTAGAATACTTAATAATTATTATTTATTTTAACAGAAAATTAAACGAAACAAAACAAAAGAATTAGGCATTTAGGCAGCAGGTGGTGAGTGATAAACAAAATCGAGAAATGATTGACATTTGCTGGGTAAGTAGTGGTAGTAGTAGAAAGTGTGCAGATTTGTGGGTGGTATAACAAATCTTTAAAGGGTTTAGTAAACAAATAATATGCAAAAGGGGTGGGGAGGAGGAGGTTAGTTTTAATTACAATGATAGTATTTTTTTAATTTTCATTAAAACATAACAAAAAAAATTTGATTAAAATACAAAAAAATTGCTGCTGATATTTCTTGCTACGTCATTAACAAAAATAATAATAATAATAAAAAAGAACAAAATACATGACATTTACAACAATGTGATTTGTTTTACTGTTGTGTTAATATTATAAAAGGAGGACAATGTTTGGTTTTTAACAATATTAATAAATATATACGTTTGTATGTAAATATGTATATAAAAAAAGCTATACTTAGTTACTAAAAATGAACTATTTTCATATATATGTATATATTTGTTTCTTTTTGCAATGTTTTCTAAAAATATGTTTAATTCTTTGTTTTTGATTTTTTGTCAGGGGGAAGGGTGGCTTTTTGTCTTTTGTTTTTTTTTTAGGTTATGTTCAACTAAACTCTTTGTATTTTTTTTTAATAATTTTCTTTATATTCTTGTTGTATGTATATTAGATATAAACACAAAACAAATACATATAACATATTTTATAAACGTATGTATATGTAATGTTGTCTCTATGTTTAGTTTTTTTGTTTAAATTTTCTTCTTCAATTTTTAATATTTTCTTTTTTTGGTGCCAAACTTCTTCTCTTTTTTTTCAAGATTATTCTTATTGTTGTTGTTGTTTGTTTTTTAAAGACATTTAAACATAAAAATGATTAAAACAAAGTTCATTTACACTTACCGTTTACTAAACCTTGAGGAGAGTTTGGAAAAGAAACTCATGCGACCTGGATGAGGTGATTCGCCGGGCACACCACCTGTGGCCGAATATTCCAAAGCAGTATTGTTTCGTGGCCTTGTTTGACCTATGTTTGGGTATGTATGCGCATATAGCAGCAATATGTTGACAAACAAAAGGTATAGAGGATTGGGAGAAGAAATAGAAACAAAAACAAAGATTAGTAAAATGAAAAACATAAATCTTAAGAAATTATTGTAACAATAAGGAATGTCTTTGTAATAATAACCTTCACCATAGTTTTAAGTTAAAACAAGAAATTTGTTAGAGGTTCATAATTTTTTAACCTCAAAAAATTTTTTTTTCTTTGACATAACCTTGCTTTATCAGTATTTATTTTTTAATCGGGAAATATTCTTTCATTTTAGTTTTAAAATAAAAATGAAGTTTGTTTCCGCTTTAAACCATTATAACCTCAAAAAAATTATTTTTTTATTTTTGACGTAACCTCACTTTTTTCACAATGTTTATTTTTTTTTCTAGTCTAGTAATATTTTATATTGTTTTTTATCACATTCTCCTTTTCTATACCAGCATTAATTCTGTACATACATTCTCTTTTAGACAAATGATAAAGGACAGCATTTTTTTGGGGGGTAATATAAAATTACTTTGTTTCACATAAATTCAATCGAAGAGAAGAGAGAATGAGAACATGGTGGAGGTTATTAAACAAATTAAATATTCTGTGGTGTTTTATAATGTATTCATTTGTTAATTGTAAAAAGTATTAAAAAAAATTGTATTTTTAAATAATTTTGACTCGTTAAAGAACTCGTACCGAAGACTGAAGACACATGGACTTTTATATAAAAAATTGTTTTCAAGATGGGGGTCTTTTATGTAGTGAATGAATGCCGAGCAGAATTCAAAAAGGAGTTATTCTACCCACAAAGAATCCAAAGCATCAAACCACCATAGATAAGGTTGGAAAAGAGGAGAGGAAAATAAATCTTCAAAGTGGGAGCTATACAAAAAGTGGACCTACATTGAATTTTGTGTTTTTCCTTTTCTAAAGGAAATGTCAATTTAGAGCTGATTTGATGGGCGAAAGTTGAGGCAGAAACCTCCAAAATATCAGCAAAGAAGAGGGCCCGTTGTTTTCATTTTCAATACCAAAACACCTGGCGATAATATCAAATCCTGTGACATACATATATTTAAAGATCTCTCTAATTGTATCGTTGGTAAGGAAGCGGAAGGAAGAACTCAAGCGCCGGCCATGGTTATGGTGTGGGCCGCCATAACAGTCGATGGATGCTCTAAGCTCGTATTAATCGACCCTGGCATCAGAATAAATGACGAATATTATCGCGAAAATAATCTGGAGGTGTATCAAAGCCTTGGATACGCAAAAATGTTGGCCGCAGACCTTGGACATTCCAACAGGACTAAGCAACATCGCACTCAGCACGCACTACCCAAGAATGGTTACAAAATGAGGTTCCTCGCTTCATTTCCAGCGCACAATGGCCGCCAAAATCTCCGGATACCAATCGGTTGGACTATTGTGTCTGGAGTATTTTAAAAAGCAAGGTTGGCACTAAAAAAGACCAAAATGTCGATCACCTCAAGCAAGTGCTTCGCCCGGAATGGCCTAAAATACCGCAGAGCAAAATTCGGGCAGCGTGTGACTGTTTTATTGGCCGTTTGAAGGCCATAATTCATGCCAAAGGTGACCAATTCGAATGAAATCTAAAATTATTCTAAAATTTGATGCTATTTCCGACAATTTTTTGCTTTCATTCAATAAAATTAAAAAAAAAACAAATGTAAAAATTATGGCGGTTGACTTTGTTGCAGTTTTTTTATCTCACCTTGTACAACTGATTTGGTTGGCGAAAGTTGAGATAGAAACTCTAAAATACCGAAAATATCAAATATTCTGGATATAAAATGTCCTGTGCAAAATTTCACAGCTCTATCTAAAGTAAGTTCTAACATAATTTCGAACTAACATAAATGGATATAGGGTCTCTGATAATTATTTTGTTGTGTTGTAAACGGAAAGAATAACCCTGGAGGTTAAAAGTTATTGACATAACCTCACATTTCGAGAAGTTTTCTCGAAGATCAATTTTATTGTTTGCTGCTTGTTTCCTTTTTAATAATCATTGTTTAAATATATTCACCTTTATAACACAATGCAAAAAATTTTACGCCTAAAAGTATGCTATGGTTTTTGAGCAAACCATTAGTTTTCTTGGTTAACTAGTTTATGGCTTTATAACTCGAATATGTGATATCATGGAGTGATGATTTTTTGCAAAATCATTCATAGCCTATTGCGGGTACCTTCTACAAGAAATCGAAGCCCTGGCTCGTTGAGGTGCTAAACTATTGGTGCTAAAAATGTCGATGTTTCATAATGAGAAAGTAATTTATGGCATCCATTACTTTCATATGCTGATGTGTTTGGGCACTTGTGGATGAGGAGCGGCAAAGTTATGCCTAAGCATGTGAAAAAAGCTTTCTTTATTTAGATGGCAGCAAAATACTCGAATTATGAAATATACAAAAAAGAAGCTCCATTTTAAAACTTGTGACAGACAATCCATCTAATTTTACAGTAAAAGGTATAAAAATAATATAACAACATTTGACGCTGTGATAACAAACACTTGTTGTTAGTTTTATTTTCCAACCTGCTAACGTCATAAAAACACACCAATTGCTGGAAAATAAATATAAATTAATCTAGTTATCTTTTTTATGATACCAAATAAATCAGTATATGTTTTATTTATAGGTCGGTCATTCGCCCCCAAATATTTTCCATTATAATAATAATTCCAATAATAACACGGTGGCACATATTAACAACAGTTATAATATGTTAAAAATAAATGTAGTTGTGTAATGAGAAAAAAACACGCACACAAATTCTACAAAAAGTACAATGGTTTAATGACTCCTATACACGAAATATGTGGGGGAGGTGACGGCTGTATGCGTTGGGTATGGGGGTGGAAGCTTTCAATTGGTTGATATTAAAGGTTTTTGCTTGGTATTTGTTTAGTTAATATAACTACTTTGAAACCTTATCGTATTGATGAGTGTCTGCCTTGGCGGTGTCAGATTTATGAAAGAAATAGCAATTGACGACATGTGCCATGAAATAAATTAACAGTTTTTTGCCTTCAAATTGGAAAGGTATTAAAATAGGCTCAGACTGTTGCTCTGTTTAGAGTGTGGATTAACCAATAATAACAATTTTAAAATGTAATACACACATTCATTTGAATTGAAATAGAACATTCTTCTTGTCAATGGCAAAATTAACCTAAATAGATGTGTGTGAATTTAAAACGATACTAGAACAGTTAATAGAACAGTTAATAATAACTGTTCTAGTATTCTAGTAACTAGAACAGTTAATAATAATTTCTATCCAAAAAGGATAGGATTTCTACCTATAGAATATCTGTTTTAAAAGGGTTCTCTTATTGAAAACACATACCACCCAAAAGTAATTATGTCTATAGTAGTGTTTCCGGAAAGTCATCCATCCATAGAAGATTTTTTAGGTGCGAGACCCCTTTAGAGGACCTCCTATCCTTTGGAATGCCTTCCAAATAACCTTTAATAACCCTTTCAAGATATAGATCAAAGATCATTAAATGAACTCCTGTCTTTGGAATTCCCAAGAAGCCTTTCAAAGAGGTCGCCTATAGAGGAAAAACTCTCTTTTTTGACGAAAATTTTTCGAATAAAAACATTTATTTAAAGGATTATATCTATGAAGGAGATTCTATATATGGAGGCTCTTTGAAGAAAATATAAGCATTGGGTCTTCTGTAAAATTTAATTTTTTTTTATAAAAGATACTAAAACCGGAGATCATAAATAAAACTATTCTAATGACAAAGTGATCGTGTTATATTAATTAAAGGGTCTTCTATCTTTGGTATGGCTAAATAAGAAGAAGCCTTTCTAAGAGGTCAGCTATGGGTAGAAAAAATTGTTATTGTGTCGTCTTCATTAGAATAAAATTTCGAATAAAAATAGCAATTATAGTAGTACATTTATAAATGGGAGCAGCTGCTATAGCAGGCTTTGAAAGACTATATGAAAATATGGGATCGTAATGGTGTGTAAGCCTTCATTCATAAATAGAAATACTTTATAGGCTTCTTAAGGTAAAAAAAGGTCTTACTATTCGAGAATGTAAATATATTTCAATGACAGACAGCTCAATAGGGTCTTCTTGGACAGAACGCCTTTTTAAATATTTGATGTTTAGAAAACCATTTAAGGGATATTCAAAATAGATATGAAGGAAGATTTGAAGATGTCCTCTTTACATAAAATACCTTCCAGGAGGCTATTTATAAAGAAATAAATACCTGCTAATAGGTCTTCCATATATAGAAGCAAATCTCTACATACCGAATACATGTAATCAAGTCTGGCGAGACATAAGACCTTTTAAGAATCATCTATAGGCTGAGCGTCGGGTTTAAATAAGAATACTTCATGAAGGCTTCTGTCTTTTAATTGATGAAAGATGTCGTCTAAACTTTCTTTTTATTATAGGTATAAAACATCATAGGAGTTGTCAAAGGAGCTTTTTGGAGGCCTTCTAATGACAGACGACATTTAAGATTGGGATTTCTTTAAGATTTCCGAGAGATTTTCAGAACCTTCGATATCTTTTAAAGATATAATACCAGGTTGAGAAGTTTTCAAAGGAAACTGTCATAGGTATAAATACCAGTATAGGAGATCTTCCATCTGACTGAAACAGAATCATTGGGAGGAGGTCTTCTAACAATATAAAATATTTTAAACAGGGGCTTCAAGAGATCTTCTAAAGTTTTCAGATTCTTCAATGAAGAGTTTTTCAAAGGAGACTTTGAGGTAGGTTTAAAGCTTTATAGGAGACCTTCCATTTGACTGAAACAGAATCTTTGGGAGGAGGTTTTCTCACAATATAAGACATTTTAGGCAAGACCTTCAAGAGATCTTCTAAAGTTTTCAGATTGTTCAATAAGAACATTTCAAAGAAGACTTTCATAGGTTTAAAGCTTCATAGGAGATCTCCCAACTGACTGACACAGAATCATTGCTGAAGCCTTCTAACGATGCAATACATTTTAGGCAGGGACCCCATGAGATCTTCTAAAGTTTTCAGACCTGGAAATGTTTTTTGAAGAAGTTTTATATGGAAGGAGCCTATTAGGAAATCTCTTCTAGAGATCTTCTAAAGTTTTCAGATCCTTCAATGAGCAGTTTTTCATAGGTTTAAAGCTTTATAAGAGACCTTCCATCTGACAAGCGCAGGATTATTGCTGAAGCCTTCTAACGATACCATACATTTAGGGTAGGGGCTTCAAGATATCTTCTAAAGTTTTCAGATCTCTTCATGCATTCTGAAGAAGAAGTTTTCTATGGAAGGACGAAGAAGTTTTCAAGGAATTTTAAAGTTTCATAGAAGACCTTCCATCTGACTGGAACAGGATCATTGCTGAAGCTTTCTAACGATGCAATACATTTAGGCAGGGATTTCAAGAGATCTTCTAAAGTTTTTACAGTTCTTAATGCTTTCTGAAGAAGAAGTTTTCTATGGAGGGGCTTGTTAAGAAATCTTCTTACAAGCAACAATTAATAGAAGGTCCTCCAAAACGAGCTTTCATAGGAAATCTTCCATTTACTGCTCCAGGATATTTAAGAGATATTCTACAGATAGCAGAAATATTCGTTTTTTTTTTTTGTAAAAGAAAGGCATATAAGATATCTTCTATATACAGAAGTACCTATGGAAGATCTGCTAAGGGCATTCTACAAAAGACTCTTCAACATATGTTCTCTAGGTGCAAGTTCAGTTGCTGGGAACTTAAATTATTATTATTTTTTATGGAAAACTTTTTCAAGAATCTGCCATCTTTGTTGAAAGAGCTCTTGGCGAGCCTTCTAGCTACTGACTTTTAAATAATATTTCATACATTGAAGAGAAGATCGAATTTATAGAAGACCGTATAAAGGGGTTTGCTCCTGATGTTGGAAGGTGAATTCTTAAAAAAAAATTAAAAAATCCTTCTCCTAAAGAATGGTACAGTTCACATTTTGAATTTCAAAATCATTATTTTTGTTCCTCAGAAGAAAACTTTTCAAAATTCCTGAATGGTACATTTCCCTATCTCAAATTAAGAATAAAAAAATATATTAAATTATTCAAAATTATTGTTGTTAAAAAATCAAATAAAATGTAATAATAATTATTGAAAAAAAAAACTCAAATAATTTCAAATACAACAATACACAATTATGAAAGTTATATAAATATTTTGAAAAAAAAAAATAGAAGAAATGATTATTGAGATATATTGGTTCGAAAGGAGAGAGAGATAAAGATAGAAAGAGGAGATTGTTGTTATGGGGTTGTTCTTTCTTGTTATGGAGCTGGATGGGTGGGTGGTGGTGGTGGGTGAATGGATCAATGGGGAATGTTGGATTTTTGGAGTGGAGTGGAGCGAGCGAGCATTCATTCATTCATTCATTGAGTGGCAAGGTGGTAATGGTTATAGAGAGAGGGGGTCTGGGCTGAGCTGGGCTGGGTAGGGAGTAATTGCAGCAGCTTGCTTGGCATGGCGCGCTAGCAGCATATTGGTTCAATTCAAATCAATTCAATTTTTAACGTGCTTAAGAGTTGTAAATTAAGGTTAGTCGATTGAAAAAAAAAAAACAACAAAAACGGGTATGTATATATGTCAACATATATAATAATGGAGAATATTACAGGACATTAAGGTAGAAATACAAAGAGATAGATAGAATCAAGATAGTAGGGGGTGGGGGATTAAGGAGTTAATTTCCGTTCATAAATTTTGTTCTCAAAAGAGTTTTACATTCAAATACTTTCCAAAAAAAAAAAAAAGATTATATATATTGACTTTCAAGTGCATTCATTCAAGAGTCCCACTGATATATATGTATGGTAGAGAATAGTTTTAAAATATTTACAAACATAGATTTTTTTTAAATATTCCATTACAAGAATACAAGATCTTTCAAGATCTATCCTGTCAAAATCGTTACGTTTCCATTATCTTCTTAAAATAGCTAAAGAAATGGGTCATTCATTTGTATAAAAGGTGGGTGGTATAAATGTGTGTGGGTTGACAGGGAGAGAGCGAGAGAAAGAGAGCAATCAATTTTGAAAGTGAAGTCTGTAAGTTAAGATTGTTGTGGTTGTTGTTTTGTGGTGGTCTTGTTGGTTTGGTTTGGTTGATAGTTGTTGTTGATTGAGACATGTTGTTGAGATTCTTAAAGCAAAACTCACCCGAATGAAAGGTTGAACGTGATGGTACATTCCTGGGAAAATGTCTGCCAGATTTAACAGCCGATGTCACTCTAAGATCGTTGAAAACGCTGTTTCATTTATTTTTTTTTTTTAAATCAGTTTTAATGGTCATCGTCGTCGTGGTTGATATATAGTGATGGGATTTTCATAATTCAGGCAGGCAGGCAGACAGGCAATCGAGTCAGTCGTACATACAGGCGGGCGGGCGGTCAGGAAGGCAGGCATTCAAGGCAGATATATAGGCAAGAGAGCAGTGGCAGTGACATTTGTTTGATATTTGTATTATTTTCGAGTTGCACACACAGACACACAGATTTCATGATTTGTTCACATGGGAATATACAATAAGTAGTAGTTGTTGTTGTGGTAGTTACAAATCATTTGTTTTTAATTATTTTTTTTTTTTTCATATTTTTTTGAACAAAAGTTAGGTAGTAGTAGTAGTTTTGGAGCATGCGAGCAGCGAGACCAAGCATTTGATTTGATCGAATCATTTGAGATTTCAAATTTGAATATCGATTTGATTTTTGATGATGAAGGAGGATGTTGAGAGAAGATCGCAAGTTTTGAATTTGATCGATTGATTGATTGGTGGTGGTTTGGTTGGTTGATTTGTTGGTTTTGGTGGTGGTGGTGGTGTCATCATGCAAAAACAAATTTTTCACAATAAAGAGAAAAAAGAAATAAAAAAATTAAAAATTAAAAAAATTATATTTTTGTTTTTCTTTAGAAAAAAATTCAATATAATATATATTATATATAAGTATTATATAACAAATAAAATAAAAAGTAATTTTTATTAATTTCATATAAAAACATGAAATATATGTATATATTTTTATACATAGAAAGAGGGAGAGAGAGCGAGTAAAAACAAAAACATAAACATAGAGAGGTGAAGAGGTGTGGGGTTCGTTCTTTGGTGTTCTAAGCTACTTGAGACGAGACTTAGACAGAGAGAGGGACAGACAGACAGACAGAAATAGCGAAGATACACAAAATTGAGATACAATAATGTAAGGCTACTCAAAAGAGGTAACTACAATAAAGATATATATTTATATAGAAAAAACCAAGTGGGTTTGGAAGTGGAGGGTCTTTTTTATACATTATATAATTGAAAAAAAAAAAAAAATAAAGAGAAAAAACACAAAAATTAAAAAATAAAACAAATTAGTATTAAAATATATTTCCTTAATTTTTTTAATAGTAGTAATAAAAAATTATAAAAAAATTAAATAAAAATAAGATAATAAAATAATAAAAATTATATAATAAAAAAATACAAAAACAATATAATAATAAAAAATAGCAAAAAATATAATAAAAGTTCAAACACACACAAAAATTAAAAAAAAAAAAAAAAACTTTCTTGAATATTTTTTAAATAGTAATAAAAAATAAGATAATAATATAATACAATAAGCATTATAAAGCTTTTAAAAAGATAACAAAATAATAAAAATACAAAACATAACAACAATAATAAAAAAATAATAATAAAAAAATAATAATAAAAAAATTATAATAAAAAAATTATAATAAAAAACTATAATAAAAAATAATAAAAAAATAATAATAAAAAAATAATAATAAAAAAATAAAATAATAAAAAAATAAAATAATAAAAATAAAAAACACAATCACAATTTTGAAGCCTTTAAAAAAAGATAAAAAGAAAGAACAAAATAATAAAAAATAACACAATAATAAAAAATTATAATAATAAAAAAGAAATAAAAAAACAATAACAAAAAACAATATAAAAAACACCAATAAATAATAATAATAAAAACAATAAAAAATTTTAATTTTTTAAAAAATAAAATAAATTAAATTAAAATAACAAATAAAAGTTAAAATAATAAAAAAAATAATAGAAAAAACCATAAATAGTAAACAAAAATTACAAAATACAAAAATACAAAAAAAAAAATATTAAAACAAAAGTCAAAATTAAAAAAAAAAAATATCAGTAACATAAAAAAATATTTTTATGAAAATATAAAAATGTTAAAAAGGATATAAAATAACTACAAAAAAAAATAAACAACAAAATATTCAAAAAACTTTTATTTACTTAAATTATTAATATTTTATTTTTAAATTTTTGTGTTTTTCTAATTTAAATAAAAATAAACGTATACAAAATAAAAACAAAATATATATTACAACAAAAACTAATGTGGCAACAAAAATTTGCAAAATATTGTGTGTGTGATGAGATTTTACAACAAAAAAAAAAAAACTAAAAAACACGAAAACAAAAAATTTTATTCACAAACAAATGAAAATTAAGAAACCAAAATAGAAACAATTTATACATTGGCAGCGGTTTCTTCAATAAATATTTGCAGTAGTTTTGTGTAAAATTTGTGACTTATGACATTTGACGATATAACCTCAAAAAAAAATTTTTTTTGCAAACATAATCTCAAACACAGGTTTGTAATTTTACATTTTTATAGAAAATATATGATATATTTATTATTTTTCTGAATGGAATTCCAATTACTTTAGGAAAACCTGAGATGTAATCTGATTTTTTTAACTTTTTTTTTTTTTTGAAAATAGAAAAAAATCTAGTTCTAATTATGTTTTCTTTTGCACTTTAACACTTTTTAAGTAATTTATGCCATGGCATAAATTTTACACAAAAACAACTGCAACAACTACAAATCAAAGTGAAGGTGGTGATAGAGAAAGTGGTGATGTTTAATGATACTCTTGATCATCACCAACTCATTTGTTGGCATTTTAGAATAGCATAAATTGCAACTAACAACAGCCTAGCAGCATCAAATTCAAATATCTATCACAGCCTAAAAGTATACTCTAAAATATTGCAAGGAATTATAAAACCATTTCATATCCTAGCCCTAAAATTCTATATATTTCAATTCCTCTATGGCCTACTTCTTAGTTACTTCTGTAAAGGGGGTCTGGTGGTCTTGTTCTCAAAAAGGCGTGGATGTATAGCATTATAGAGAGAGGAGGAGAAAGGAATAGAGATTTACGGAGTGTGTTGGGGAGGTAGATAAAGAAAGCAAGCTCTTCCCTTTTGCTTTCTTGTCAAGAAGCCTTTTTATAGTTGGAACGCAAATGGTTTAATCTCTTTACGATTTTAGATATTACTTGAAAAGCATTAAAAGTTGGTTTTTGTTTTTCTTTGGTTTTTAGAAAAAAACATTGGCTTCCAAAAGAGTTAGAAACGAAAAACGAAAATTTTTTTTCAACAAATTATATTCTCAGTAGTATTGCATTGATTTGGTTTTACTTAAATTATTATACTCACCCATGGCATATTAATATGTAGTAGTAGTAGTGGTGGTGGTGGTTTTGGTGGTTGTGGTGAAGGAGGAGATTATGGTAATTTTTTTAGATTGTAGTAGTTGTAGCAGAAGTACCATTTTTTGTTGTAGATTTTTTTGGTTTGGTTTAATTTGAGTTTAATTTGCAAAAAAGGTTTTACGCAACAACAACAATACAGAAATTTTTTTGTTGTCGATTTGATTTTTTTGGTATGAGATATATATAAAAAAATAAAAAATGAAACATCAAAATATAATTAGTGCTTTTTGGAAATCTTTTATAATAAAAGTGTGTGTGGGTGGGTGTATTAAAGGAAGGAGGAGAATTTATATATATATATATATATATATATATATATATATATATATATATATATATATATATATATATATATATATATATATATAATAATAAATGGAAAGTGGTGGGGTAAATGTGTGTGGAAATCTGATGTGTTGTAGGAAAATTACAAAGGAAATTATAAAAAAAAAAACCATGTAAAAAAAGCCAAAAGTCGGAGTAGACCGACTAGTTAAAATTACACCACTCTTGAGACACTGAGAACCTAGGAGGTGAGATCCTCAATTGCAAGACAGTTGTTGAAAAAATATTAAAAACAAGTAAAAATGTATCAAACAGTTTTGCAGACAGACCCTTTGGGGATGAGGTACCAGACGGGGTTCCCAGATTTATATCATATTCATAACCGACCTTGTGTTAGCAAAAATTTTTGTATGTGTGAAATTTGAAGCGAGTTGGGTGCTAATTTCTATATCGCAGAGCGTTTTGTTTTTCAATATCTTCAACCCTATGTGGGGCAGGCACTAGAAGTAATGCGCCGATATATCCCATCTTCGCAGCAGATCTTGCGTTAGTAGAAATAATGGGATGTGCGAAATTTGAAGAGAAACGGATGCTTATTTCGAATTATATGATCGTTTTCGTTATTCAAAATTTTGACCCTTTGTGGGGGAGGTACCATAAGGAATGGTCCGATCTCTACCATCTTCATAACAGATCTTGTGTTATCGAAAATGTGTGCAATATGAAGAGAACCGGACGTATATTTCAGATTTTATGATCGTTTTGGTTATTCAAAACTTTGACCCTTTGTGTGGGAGGTACAAGCACAGCACACAGCAGATCTTGTGTTAGTAAAAATAATGGGATGTGCGAAATTTGAAGAGAAACAGATGGTTATTTCGAATTTTATGATCGTTTTCGTTATTCAAAATTTTGACCCTTTGGATTTTATGATCGTTTTCGTTATTCAAAATATTGACCCTTTGTGGGGAAGGTACCAGAAAGAATTGTCCGATCTCTACCATCTTCATAGCAGATCTTGTGTTGATGGAAATATTGAAATGTGTAAAGTCTGAAATGAATCGGATGTTAATTTCGCGTATTATGAGCTTCATGAATATTCAAAATTTTGAGCCTATGTGGGGAAGGTACCAGAAGAAGTGGATCGATACCTACAATCTTTACACCAAATCTTGTGTGAGTAGATAAATTGGGATGTGGGAAATTTGAAGAGAATCGGATGATTATTTAACATTTTATGAGGGTCATAATTATTCAAAAATTTTACCCTTTGTGGGGGAGGTACATGATGCGGTGGTCCGATATTGTCAATTTTTCCTCCTGACATACCCCTGATACAAATATTGGGATATGCAAAGTTTGTACAAAATTGGATGGCCCTATCTTGCTTTATGCTGTAGATAATTTTCTGTGAAATGTTTGACCATTTTTGGAGGAGCTACCAGAAGGAGTGGACCGATATTGCCCATCTCTGAACTCGATCTAACATTACGATGTAGCAAGTTTGGATCAAATCGGATACTCTCTTCGAAAGTTATCGTGCGCAACAGAAAGACGGACATCTATATTTTCACTCCAAATGTCCTGAAAGGGATTCGGATTCACAAAAAAAACCTAGCAATATGACGTGGATATATTTCAAAAAAATTCGAAATTTCAAAAAAGTTCAAAATTTAAAAAAAAAAATATATATACGATCCTCATATGCATTGAAAAAAAGAAGTGACGGACAGACAGACATAAAAAAAAACAAATTCATTCTAACCCAAAAACCTACCTTGTAAAGAAAAAAACATAGAACTCTCAAGAGTGGTGTAGCATATATATATAAAAATAATATTATAGAAAGCTCCTTCTTAAACAATATTTATGTAAGAATCATATTAAATAAATTAAAAAAAATAAGTATTAATAAAAAAATTAAGGGAGTTGATAATGATCAAGTTCTGGTAGTAAGTTGTTAAAAGCAGGGTGTTGTATGGAGGCTTGAACCAAAATTTTTTTTTTTCAAATTTGTCATTTTCATTTGTTTAGAAGAAGAAATGAAAAAAAGGAAAAACACAAGCCACCTAATTGTTCTGAGTTATTAGAAAAAATTAGTAACGAAATTGTGTTAATAAATTAGCACTAAAATGTCAATAATGTGGCATTTGATTAGTGGTGTCTGTGTTATTTTTTGGTTATAGATTTTCAAAATAGCGGCAGGTGAAATAAAGAGTGATTGGTGGTGGTTGATAATTTTGGAATTTTCTGTTTGTTTTTTAAGCAAGACAACAAAACAATGATGACAAAAAAAACACAAAATATTTATAACACTAAACTAGGATTCAAAAACATAAAACAAAAAATGATTCCAGTAAAAAAAAATTCATTGGAAATAAAAGTTTTATAATCAAAGCTGGATGACATAGATAGATAGATATATTTCCACATATACATACTTTGAGTCTGTTGAAATAGCATTGGTTTTCTCAGTTGAAGAAGTCTTCTCGTATAAAGTGGTAGAACGTCTTGGCATCATGCTAACCGTGGCCGATGGACGATTACTACTGTTTGTGGGATCATATTTAGGCGTGTAACGTGGTTTCGGACTACTAATAGCTGTACGGGATGAAGCGAGAGAGAGAGAAGAGAAGAAAAATGTTAATTTTTCTTTTCAGGAATATTATTCAAAATGTATCTGTTGCATCACTTACATGTATCTTGTGTCGTCAACAGTTTATGAGTGGCTGAGGCCGGCCTTTGATTTTGAGCCGATAGACGTGCTGTATTCTCTTTTATGGTTGCTGAATCTATGGTATTTTGGCGCTTGAAGTTGCTACTTCTGGAAGAAGGGGAAAAAGGGACAAAAAAATTAGAAATTAAAAATAAACGAAAATTAAAAGTAGAAATAAAAAAAATAACGAAAAAATAAACAAATGAGTTGGAAAAAACCTTTTTTGTCCAAAAAGGTCAAGATGTCTACTACATTTTTTGTATTGGAGCATCTTTTCTGTTGAATAGCCGACCTAAAATTGTACTTCCGTCTTTCAAACATGAGAGAAAGTATAAAACGAAATAAAAACAGAAGATCGACCGTCTATTTTAAATTACAACATTTCGGATGATCCTTCCTTGTTTTTCTGTGAAATTTTTGAGCTTTTGTGGAGAAGGTACCAGAAAATGTGGCTTGATATTGCCCATCGATTTAAGATGGACAAAAATATTACGAGGTACCAAGTTTGGACGTAATCGAATACTCCCTTTGAGAGTTATCGTGCGCACCATCGAGCCATCCGGACGGACGGCCACCACCAAACTGAATCCAAGTGTCCTGAAGTGGATTTTCTCTAAAGAGACCTAGGGTCTAAAACCGCTATTTCGATGATGCACATTTTGGCCGGAAAGTTTGGCCCACGAAAAATTTGTGTGTATCTGAACAAGTTTGCTCTTCTTCATGGGAGAGCTAGTCTATTGTTTTACTACATCGCTTGAGTTGTCTTCCCACATAGGATTTTCATCTTTTCTTCTAAAGACTTAGGGGACTTTAATTGTTTATGGTTGCCCATAAAGGCTTCCTTCGTCTGCAAAAGAACTAAAAGTCTTATATTGTCTAAAGGGAAATCTGGAGGTGTTCCATTGTCTATAGGAGAGCTCGAGGCCTTCTTTGGCCTACGGAAGACACAGGAGCCCTTGTAATGTCTAACGTAGACCTATAGGTCTTCCATTGACTTTTGTAGACTAAGGGTAACTTCAATTGTTTATGGTTGACCATAAAGGCTTCCTAAGTCTGCAAAAGGTCTTCAACGGAACACACAGAGGCCCTCTAATGTCTAAAGTAGACCTATAGGTCTTCCATTGTCTTGCGTAAACTAAGGGTGACTTTATACAACAAAAGCTTTCTGAGTATGCAAAAGATCTTCCACTGTCTAAGGGAGAGCTTGAGGTTTTCCATGGCATGTAGAAGTCCTGAAGAACTTATTTTGCCTAAAGTAGTCGAAAATAATATTTCAGGTAGACTTTTGGGGCTTCTATTATTTCTAGTTTATCTGGAAGACTTTCCTTGACTGCAAAAGTTCTAGGGGACTTATATTGAATATAATAGGCCTCGAGACGTTCTTTCGTCGTCTGTAGCAAAGTTTGAGGTCATATATGGCCTTCGGAAGTCATAAAGGCCTTTTTATCTCTAAATTAGACCAAAAAGTCTTCCAATGTTGCTAATAGACTTGCGGCGTTTCTATGGCTAATAAAAAAGACTTTCCTTGCCTACAAAAGCTCTAGATGACCTATATTGTCTATGGCAGGCCTGTACGGCAGTCATGGGGGTCTTTATTTTCCAAGTGGACTAAGACGTCTTCTATTGTTTCTAGTAGACTTGTGGGGCTTCTAAATTTTATAGTTTATCAAAAAGATTTTCCTTGTCTACAGAAGCTCTAGAGAACTTATATTGCCTATGGAAGGCCTTGATATGTTATTCCCTTGACTTGTGGGACTTCTAAAGCTAATAGTTAAAAAAAGATTTTCTTTGTCTAGAAGGCTTATATTGTCTATAGCAGGCCTAGAGATGTTCTTTCGTCGTCTTCAGAAATTTTGAGGTCTTCTGTGGGCTACGGAAGTCATAGGGGCCTTTATTTCCTCAAGTAGACCAAGACGTTTTCTATTGTTTCCTGTAGACTTGTGGGACTTTTAAAGATTATAGTTTATAAAAATAGAATTTCCTGGTCTACAAAAGCCCTAAAGGACTTATATTGTCTACAGAAGGCCTTGAGATGTTATTCCTTGACTTGCGGGACTTCTAAAACTAATAGTTTATCAAAACAATTTTTTTTTTGTATAGAGAACTTCTATTGTCTATAGCAGGCCCAGAGATGTTCTTTCGTCGTCTTTAGAAATGCTTGAAGTCTTCTACGGACTTCGGAAATAATAGAGATCATTTAACGTCTCAGAAAGACCAAGAAGTTCTTCTATTGTTGCTCGTAAAATAGAGAGGATTCTAATGTTTATAATTATCGAAAAGATTTTCCTTGTCTACAAAAGCCCTAAAGAACTTACATTGTGTACAGAAGGCCTAGAGAAGGGTCGAAGCGCTTCTAAAACTAAGCTCTTTTTCTAGAAAGCATGCCTAGCGATGTTCTTTCGTCGTCTGTAGAAAAGCTTGAGGTCTTTTACGAACTTCGGAAGTCATAGAGGTCTTTTAATGTCTCAGCTAGACCAAGAAGGTCTTCTATTGTTGCTCGTGGCCAAGCGAGACTTCTAAAGTCTAAAGCTTCACAATCAGATTTCCTAAATCCTTTGCCTGTACAAGGATATCTTTGCTCTGTTTTTTTTTTTTTTTGGAATTTAGAGAAAATCTTATAATCTATCAAAAATTTACTTACATTGAAGATCTTTCCGCTGTTGATCCAGTGCCAGCAATTGCATAATTAGTGCTGGTCGGAACGGTACCAGCTGTTCCTGTAGTAACAACTTGAGCCGCAGCATTGCCACCGGGTGCTACACCTTTGGGAATGAAAATACAAACAAAAATGCAAAATTAATAACAATTTTAATTAAAAAAAAACGATTTGCCACATAATTGGGAGTTAGTATAAAAAAATAAAAATAAAAAGAAAACACATACGTAAAGTATCAGCCCCAGAGGATGCCCTTCTACTTGGTTTTGTACTAGAAGCCGAAATACTTCTGTGGACACCACGGTGCGTTGGGCTTTGTACCGAAGTATTTGCCGAAATTGCAGTTCCATCATTACCGATATATTGCGTAATGAAAGTGAAGAACCCGAACGAGAGCCATCACTTTCAGGCTGCATGAAAAATAACAAGGGGGAAGAAAAGACAAGAAGAAGAAAAAGGGTAAGGCAATGTTGATTTTTTTTTTGCTTGCTCGATTTTGCTCATGTACTTACATCAGTACTTTTTCTTCCCAGCAATAAATATGTTGCGAACACATCATCGTAACGTACTTGAGACAATGATGCCTCGATTTCCTGTCTATTATAGCCCATTGCCACAAGAGCTTCTATATATTTTGTAACAACATGGGTGGGTGGGTGTGTGGGGTTAGGAGTGTGGGTGTTGGGTTGGTTTGAATAGATGATTTTTTTTTTGTTGTCATCCAGATGGCGCCATCAGCATCATCGTCATCATCATCATTGTCATTATACATAAATATTGTGTAAAAAGGGAGGAAATAGAAAATTAAAAACCATTAGCAATTTCATTTCATATTTCACACATCTCAGAGAGTGAGAGAGAGATAGAGACAGACAGAATTTGTTTGTTAAAACGATTATCTCAAAAACGTTTTTTTTTTTTAATTTTTTCTTTTCAAAATGCAAATTTAATTCACACTTTTTTCACACCTCTCTTTTGTATTGATTATTTGTCTAGATAATTTTCGCCATTTCAAAAAACCATGAGTAATGAATTTGCCAAAAATATAAAAAAATACTGATCAAAAATAAATGCAGCTTTAAAAAATACTAAGAGTAATTATTTTTTTGGGGAGAAGGAAGCTTGTCTGTGTTGGCTTCATATTGGTTGGCATTTGGAGGGAGAGAGAAAGAGAGAGAGAGAGAGGACAAAGTCCACAAGTGCGTGAGCTAAAAAAAGGCTAATATTATTAATAATATTTAAAGGGCGTATGTAGTGAATAAAAGCAATTTAGAAAAAGGATTTCAAAATTTACAGAAATTTTAACATGTGTTGTCGGTCATTTAAGGAGGGGTGGTTCCACCCAAATAAAAAAACACAAAAAAACTTGTGTAATTCATTCGTAAAACCTACAATAAAACCAGTAAAAAAGGGTCAAAAACCGGACTGGCGGACTTTATGATACAGCACACCACTATACATATTTTTTAGAGCAAGCCGTAACAAGTAAACTTTTATATAGGGATTTTTTTTAAAGAAGATCATACATCATGATAATTTGAAAGATATATCCCACTCTGAATGGATTTCAACAAAATTTGGCGGCAGTATTTGTGTCTCTTGACTTTGGGTGGCATTAGATTGAAACATATATATCGAAGCTAAAGCTATATCTGAATAGATTTTTCCCAAAAACTATCCAATTCGGGTTGATATTGCACTTTTGGGACACCATAATTGTGAAATCGGATGAAGATATACATATATGGGAGCTATATCCAAATCTGAACCGATCTGTATTAAAATTCAGCAGAGTTATTTGTATGCTGCTTCTGATAGCTGACACCAAATATCATTGTTGGCGAGAGCATTTTACGGGTGCGGGGGACTTAAGTACAAAATCGGATGAAACTTATATATGAGACCCATAGTTATATCTGAAGCGATTTTCACCAAAATTGACACACATTCTTTCAAAGCTGAATTCGGTTGTATGTGCCAAAATCTATTTCATTTGGACTAATATTAACCACTTGGGGCGTAATAAACTTGAAATCGGATAAAAGATATATATAGGAGCTATATCGAAATCTGAACCGATTTCGATAAAATTCGACAAAGGTATTTCTGAGCTCTATTTGATATCTTATACCGAATATCGTTGTTATAGAGTTCATATTACGGCTGTGAGGAGTAAATATAACAAATCGGAGGAGCAATATATATGGCAGCTATAGCTATATCTGAAACAATTTTCATAAAATTTGACATACTCGCTTCTAGGCTCAATAAGGTCGCATTTGCCAAATTCTATCCTATTTGGGCTAATATTACACATTTGGCGCACAATAAAAGACAAATCGTACGAAGATATATACGGGAGCTATATCTAAATATTGACCGATTATCTCCTATTCTGTGGAGATCGTCCTTGGGCTAAACGAATGATTTGTGCAAAATTTCATCACAATCGGACAGTAAATGCGTCCTGTAGTTTATTTACGAAAATATATGGAAACAGACGAACGGACGGACACTAAATCAGAACTCAGAATGTTATGCTATGAAGATAATCAAAAGTTACTATGGGTCTATTTTGTTCCTTCTCCATGTTACAATCAAATGCTCCAAGACATAATACTCTGACACGCAGTGTGGTGTAGGGTATAAAAATTAGGGTTTTGTATCCTAAACCAGATTAGAGGCGATCTATGTAAAACAAGCAAAAAATATTAGGTCCGATTTTGTAATACGCCCTCTACACAACAAGAAGGCAAAGAAAACATTTCGATTAAATCAAATCCTGCCAACTCTTCAGGTTTTGCTTTTGAACAGAAGACGTCCTTCAGATTTTCTGTGGATTAATGAACAACCTTAGGTCTCTTATCGACATTTGAGGACCTTTAGTTCTTAACAGAGGTATTTGAAGTCGCCTGGGTCTTATCCTAAGAATCGTTTTTTTTTGGTGTCATAGAAACCTTTTCGATTAAACCAAATCTTGCCAACTCTTCAGGGTTTTCTATGGATTAAAAGACGTCATTTAGATTTTCTGCGGATTAATGAAGAGCCTTAGGTCTCTTATCGACATTTAAGGACCTTTAGCTCTTCACAGAGGTATATGAAGTCGCCTAGGTCTTATGAAGAACATTAGGTCTCTTATCTACATTTGAGGACCTCTAGTTATTTGCAAAGGTCTTTAAATCGTCTAGGTCTGAAGAGCCTTAGGTTTCTTATCGACATTTGAGGACCTTTAGCTCTTCACAGAGGTATTTTAAATCGCCTAGGTTTTATGAAGAGCATTAGGTCTCTTATCCACATTTGAGGACATCTAGTTCTTTGCAAAGATCTTTGAAGTCGTCTGGGTCTAAAGAGCCTTAGGTCACTTATCGACATTTGAGGACCTTTAGCTCTTCACAGAGGTATTTTAAATCGCCTAGGTCTTATGAAGAGCATTAGGTCTCTTATCGACATTTGAGGACCTCTAGTTATTTGCAAAGGTCTTCAAAGTTGCCTGGGTCTTATCCTAACAATCCTTTTTTTTAGTTATAGAAATTCACCAGGAAGCCTAAAACATCTGTGAGCACCTATAAACAATTGAAGTCTCAGTTCATTTATACAATTCATGGAATACCTCCATGACACCTTTGTATCTTAAACCAGACTGAAGGCGATCTATAGATAAGTAGCGAAAAATTTTAGATTCGGCCGAACCGATCTTGTACTACTCTTACCCACAACTCTTCAGGGTTTTCTATTGATCAAAAGATTTCTGTGGATTAATGAAGAGCTTTAGGTCTCTTATCGACATTTGAGGACTTTGAGCTCTTCACAGAGGTATTTAAAATCGCCTAGGACTTATGAAAAGCATTAGGTCTCTTATCTACATTTGAGCACATCTAGTTATTTGCAAAGGCCTTATCCTAAGAATCGTTTTTTGGTGTCATCTACAGACAATTTAAGAGTCTCAGCTTCTTTATACAATTCTTAGAACACCTTCATGACTTCTAAAGACCATAAAAGAATTGGCTATCTATGAGCCACATGAGATTTCTAAGCTTGGAACGAGATTTTTTTTTGGATAAATAAAGAGCTGTAGGTCTTTTATCGATATTTGTTCTTGCCAATAGACCTTTGCACACTTCGACCTCTTGTTTTTTTTTTTTATTTTACAGAGGGTTTGGTTTTGAACTACACTTTTGTACTATAATTTGTTTCCATGAATCCAATGAAATTCCTTGCTTGATGTCATTGTATTTTGAGTGGGAGACGATGGCGGCGGAGAGAGGGGGTGGATGGATGGAATTGTTTGTGAGATATAGAGAGAAAAAGGGCTGCTACTTGTCAACATTACACATATATACATATTTCTTTGACTTGACTTGACTTTTTACATAAAACAATGATAACAACAACACACACATGGTTTTCCTTTTTTTGTTTTGTTTTTTTTTAGAACGGAACACACGTTGTTCTGCTAATTGTTGGTGTTGCTGCTGCTGTTGCTTGCGTGAATGTGGAGGAGAGAAGGCGACGAAAGAGGTGGAGGAAACACTTAGTATTTGCAATAGATTTTTTATTTATTTTTTTTTTTTAGTTTTCGTTGTGAAAAAAGGTGATCGGTGGGTTGCTTGGTTTGTTGGTTGTCTAGTGAGATAATTGCGATATAACATTTTAACAAATAAATATACAAACACACACACACGTATATATATACACACATAGTACAAATTACAAAATGTATATGAAACACAAGATAGAAAAAAAAAGAAGAATAATAACAACAAAGAAATATCTTGGAAGTAGTAAATGTAAAAAAAAGATATATCCAAAGTGGTGAGCGGCTACATACATTTTGATATAAGAGAAAAAACAACAAGAAAAAACAAATACCCCTGCTGTTTTGGTTGGGTAGAGGGTCGGGGGTGTTGGTTGTTTGGTAGAATGGTTGAGTGATTGGTAGATAGGATACTTTGTGGTTAAATGGCTGCTTGTTTGACTGACAAAGGCTATCATAGTAATAGAATGATATGGAATGATGCATATTTGCTGAATAGAGATGGGTGGTTGGTTGGGTGCTGGGTCGGATGATGACAGGATGTGACATGGTTGGATGGATGTATAAGTGTAATTTAATAAGATTGCTTCCATTTGAGTTGCATATTTATTTTCTAGATTGGGCTTGGTTAGTTGTTGTTGCTAGCTGTTATTGTGGGTGGGGGGGTTGGTGATGGTACGAGTGCAGTTGTTGTGAATGAGTGAAAGATGGACTGCTGGCTGATGGAAAAGTACTTTTTCTAATGACAATAATTCTTGGAAATAAAAAATATGAAAACGATTCCATTTAAAAGAGTAAAAAGGTATTAGCTGAAGGCATTTTTGTTTGGCATTATGTTTTAAATTTAATGGAAACATCTCAAGGTTTCTGTGGGTATTCATGGACAAAAAGATCCCTCGAGACGTTTCAGACACATAAAAGGTCTTTAAGTCGTTTATAAACAATAGAAGACCATTAGGGCTTCATCTGTACACAACATAGGAAATGTTGTTTTCCAAAAATCTATCCCATTCGGGTTGATATTGAACTTTTGGAGTACCAAAATCGTGAAATCGGATAAAGATATATGTGGGAGCTATATCCAAATCTGATCCGATCTTTATAAAATTTAGCACAGTTATTTGTATGCTACTTCTGATAGTTGGCACCAAATATCATTGTTGGCGAGAGCATTTTATGGCTGCGGGGGACTTAAATACAAAATCGGATGAAACATATATATGGGACCCATAGTTATATCTGAACCGATGTTCACAAAATATCTTTCTTTCAGACTAAATTCGGTTGTATGTGCCAAAATCTATATCATTTGGGCTAATATTAGCCATTTCGTGCGCAATAAACCTAAAATCCGATAAAGATATATATGGGAGCTATATTGAAATCTGAACCGATACTGATAAAATTCAACAAAGGTATTTCTGAGCTCTATTTGGTATCTTATACTGAATATCGTTGTTATGGGGTTCATATTACGGCTGTGAGGGGTAAAACCAGCAAATCGAAGGAGCAATATATATGACAGCTATAGCTATATCTGAAACGATTTTCATCAAATTTGACATACTCGCATCTAGGCTCAATTTGGTCGCTTGTGCCGAATTCCATTCTATTCGGGCTAATATTACACATTTGGTGTACAATAAAAGACAAATCGGACGAAGTTATATATGGGAGCTATATCCAAATCTGAACCGATCTCAATAAAATTACCAAAGGTATTTCTGAGCTCCATTTGATATATTTCCCCAAATATTGTTGTTACAGAGTGCGGAGGACAAAAATAACAAATCGGATGAACAATATATATGGGAGCTACAGCTATATCTGAACCGATTTCGATTAAATTTGGCATACTTATTTTCAGGCCTAATTTGGTTGTATGTGCAAAATTTCATACTATTCGGGCTGATATTACACGTTTGGTGCACAAAAAAAAGGCAAATCGTACGAAGATATATATGGGAGCTATATCTAAATTTTTTCCGATTATCTACAATTTCAATAGGGTTCGTCCTTGGGCCAAACAAATGATTTGTGCAAAATTTCATCTGGATCGGGCAATAAATGCGAACTGTACTTTGTTTACAAAAATACATGGACAGACGGACGGACAGACTTTTATGCCTTCTTCTGTACACAACATAGGAAATAATCTCCGTTTTTTTAATGCCCCCCAGATCTTCCGAAGATTCCAGAGGATTTTTTAGATCATAAATATGTTCATTATACATTTAATTAAAAACAAATTTAAAGAAAAACAAATCATGTCATTAAAAAAAAGTATTTTCCAAACTATTGGGTGAGTAGTGACTGACTGGTTAGATTGGGGTGATGGTGTTGTGTTATTGGGGTGATGGTGTAATCAAAATCACTATTAACGTTATTTCGTTTTTTTTTTTTTTTTCTTTTTCAAATAGGTATTTTGATTATTTTGCTTTTTTTTTTGGTGGTGAATTTGAAAACAGCGGCTGGTTCTCAGACATTTTTTTTTTTTGGTTTTGTATATACAACGGTCAAAAGAATGAAGAAAATGTTAATTGTAATGGCATTGTATACAGTACCCGTCTTACCTATCCGTTTGACATCGCCCAGTTCTTGTTTGGGTTCAACGTAAGGCTTCAGTTCGTCATCTTCAAACCCCATATTCATCCATTTGTCGCTCATGATGGTTTCGAGACTAGCACGTTTAGCCGGATTCAATACTAGGAATTTGCGCAATAGATTTTCACAGTCAGTAGACATGTAGAATGGAATCCTATGAAACAAAATCCAAGAAAAAATAAATAAATTAACATTAATTAGTTATTTTAATTTAAAATATTATTTGTGCGTATAGCAACATACCTATATTTGCCTCTGAGCACACGTTCCCTTAATTCTCGTAATGTTGAGCCATCGAATGGCAATGACCCACTCACAAGTGTGTATAAAATAACACCTAATGACCAAACATCTACCTCGGGACCATCATATTTTTTACCCTGGAATAGTTCGGGTGCCGCATACGGTGGACTGCCACAGAATGTGTCCAATTTGGAGCCAGGTGTGAACTCATTGGAAAAACCAAAATCGGCTATTTTTATGTTTAACTCACTATCTAATAATAGATTTTCGGCTTTTAAATCTCTGCAAAAAACAATCACAAACAAAAAAAAATTGGGAAAAGAAACAAAAAAGTTAAGTTATGAGTCATATAAAATATAATTAATCAAAACAGAGAATAAAGGGGGTTTTTATTTTCTCCACACACACAGAACAGCCCATACACGATGATATCTACATACATACCTATGTATTATACGCTTTTGGTGACAATATTGCACAGCTGAAACAATCTGACGGAATTTAACTCTTGCCTCCTTTTCCTTCATGCGGCCGTGTAACACCAAATAATCGAAAACTTCTCCACCCGACGCATATTCCATAACCAAATACAACGTCTTTTCAGTTTCAATGACTTGAAACAGTTTCACAATATTGGGATGATCGAGCATTTTCATTATTCTAACCTAAAATTGGGGAAAACAAAAAATTAATTAAACTTTGATATTCAGTCAGATGCTAGTGATTCAAGACAAGTCTAGGAATCATGAATGACTGTAGAAGAAATGAGTCATAATAGAGACAAAAAATCAATTATATCAACGTCATCTTATTTGCATAAAACAATACTCATCGAAATGTTTTTTTATAAAAAAAAATTGAATTTGAAAACCAAATTTTTATGGCCAAAAGAAATGGCCAAGGTCGACATCTTATATGGGCAACAGAGGACCTCAAGGTCTTCTATAAACAAAAAAAGACTTCAAGGTATTCTATAGACAATAGAAGAACACAAGGTCTTCTATGGACAATGGAAGAACTCAAGAAGACCCCAAGGTCTTCTATGGACAATAAAAGAACTCAAGGTATTCTATGGACAATAAAAGAACTCAAGGTCTTCTATGGTCAATAGAAGAACTCAAGAAGACCTCAAGGCCAAAGACCAAGACCAAAAACGACCTCAAGGTCTTCTATAAACAAGAGAGAACTTGAAGTTATTCTCTAAACAATAGAAGACCTCAAGGAAACCCATAGACAATGGTTTTCAAAATTTTGTTTGAAATTTATTTTACATACCTCTCTAAACAGCTTTTGCAGCGAACCAGGATTCAACTGGGTTTTGTCAATTATTTTGATGGCCACCTCCTTGCCGGTGGGCAAATGTTTGGCCAATTTCACTTTAGCAAAATTACCCTTGCCAATTGTCTTAATTAGTTTGTATTTGCCAATATGCTCCTCAGTAGCACGCCAACGCATGGGCGCACTGCTGCGTATAGCCATATTGGGAGATCCCTGGAAAACACACACACACACACAAAGAACAAAATAATTAGCAACAATTAAAGAAATTAAAAAAATGAAAAAGAAAAAACAAGATATTTTATACTAGAATCTACAAATAAAGATAGACAAACTTCCAGCCAGTTTCTATTAAATAATAGGAAAATCATTAAGCATTCTTTTTTCGTTTCTCTTTAGCTGTATGTATTACCTTTTTCGCTTTTGCAACAGCGGCAGATTCACGATTTTTGAATTTTTCCGCTTTACTGGTGGCAACAATGGGTAAACCTCCATTTTCCATCATGGTCACGACCACCTTATTATTGGTGGTCGTTGTAAGGGGTGCCACAACGGAACCCTCCTTGACCGGTGTCAGGGCATTTAGGGCCGTATTACCACCACCGGCCTCATGACCCAATTTATTGTTAAGCTTACGATCTATGTAGCCACCTTCCTTGTGATAACTTTGTAATTGTTTGACCGTGGCTGGGGTATGGGATTTGGAACGTTTTAGAAATTTCATCATTTGACTTTTGACCTTTGAGGAGGATTTGTCTCCCACTGTGACACCACCACCAACATTATTATTGTTGTTTGTACTGCCACTGTTACTGTGTATGGTCATTGAATTACGCTGGGAAGAGTTGCCAAGGGCAGTGGCGGGATCAAGTAGTTTTTTACCTCCTCCAACCGTCGCTGACTTATCCAGTAAATGTAAACGCCGAAAATTGCCATCCGCCAGACGTATATAGCAGCCTTCTGACATTTTGTGATATGAATCTGTTGGTAGTTTATGGAAGTTGCCCTGAGGCGTACGATAATAACAATAATCGGTTTTGTGATATCCATTTTCCAATGCCGAACTATTTTGTTGCTGCTCTGCCACAACTCCAGCATTTTTATTGGTAACTATTTCCAGTTTTTTCAATTCCTTTTCGGCATTAAAATTAATGGGTGGTGCACTTATGGTGACCGGTCGAACCCGAGCCAAATCCAACCCCGACCTGCGACCCAGTTTTTCTGTGGCAGTGGTGGTGACTGTGGCTGCGGCATTATTTGGAAGTGTTGAGGCATTTTGACGTTCTCGGTAAATCACCGAAGAATTACTGTCTTCATGACTGCTACTGTGTTGGTGGTGGTGATTGGTACTGCTTATGGTCTGGCCCATATTAAACATGAATTCCTTCCTTCTTCTTCTTCTATGCAAAGCTTAATGTTGTTGTCGTTACCTGCTTCTCCACAGCACATTGGCACATTTCTCCACTTAATGTTGTGTTTGTTGTTCTTTATTTGTTTCTTATTGTCGTCGTCGTTGTATGTCTCTGGTAGTTGGCACCAGCAGCAGGCCGTCGAACTTAACGTTTTACTAGTTGTCGTTGTTGTTATTGTAAACAAATTTGGCTTGTAGCTTTTTAGGTTTTGGTATTTTAACAACAGTATTGTCATTGGTGTTAATGATTATTTAAAAGTAGAAAAAAAAAACAATTTCTAAAATTTCTAAGGCTGCTCTTCTTCTTATTCTGCAATATGTAAATTCAGTTAGATCGATAGCAGTTGGGGAAATGTCAATTAATGAGTATTCATACATTCTCTCTCTCTCTCACGAAATAACAGTCACACAAATTGATTAGAAGAGATTGGGAAAAGGGGGAAGGGGTTAAGGAGGAGAAAACATGGGTAAGGCATGCAGAATGATGGAGAGAGTTGTCATCATCCATGATTAGAGGGGGAGACGAGACGAGCAAAACATGTGTAACGCATTATTTGCCTAAGAAGAGAGCAAGTGAAAGGTTTTATTTTTTTGTGAGAGGGGTGGTGTCAAAGCAAACTGTCGGCTGGCTAGCTAATCAGTTGGCTGCCGCTTATTCTGCCTGCTTTCTTTTACAATATTTACACATTTTTCCGTTCTATTACAACAGATAAGAACGACGTACAGACAAACAAACATGACACAACTCATAACCGAATAACAACAACAAAAACACTGCAGTTATGAAGAATAGTTTAGGCTAGTAAGGTGCTGGTAGTTGGGTGACAGGGGGAAGATCATTATTTGCGTTATTTTATTTTTTGCCAACTTAAAACGAAGACATATGAATTACAATGGAGGGTTGTGTGTTAGTTAGTTTTTTTGCGACGGCCACTAAATCAAAAACAACTTGACTGACGTATATACAACAAAAACAACAACGGCGACGATGAAAAGTACAAAAACTACCAGTGAGATAATCTCGGTAGTTATTAACTAAATATTCTACTATATTTTGGGTTTCATAATTAAACTAATACCAAGCAGGTTTTATCATGTGTTGGCAGCACTTGGGGAAACATGTATGTATGTACAACAACTTATTATCGAGTAAACATGGTGTTTAACTAAAGAAAGATAAATTATCGATAGATCGGACGGACGTACGGACCTGCTGTGTTTAAAAAATATTTATCATTTTTTTTTCATGATAGGTTGGTATTTTCTATTTTCGCTTTCTATGCTAACTCTCTCTCTCTCTCTCTCTCGCTCTCACCCTCTGACACACATACCAACACAAATTGACATAACTTTTCCCCCAATACTCCACTTCGTAAAAAGAGATATAGAGATCGAAAAGCTTTATCAATTGGTAATTTGTTTACAGTTCGACCTCTGACAATGCGTGAGAGTAAACAACTTAACTTCCAAGATACTCAGTACTCTCATATGACATTATCTCATTTTTAATAGACACACATTCACAATGGAAAATAACGCCGCAGGTAGTTTGTTATTGGTATTTTCAAACAGCAGAAAGAAAAGTGAGTGAAGGCGGCGAGGGTATGAAAAGAAAAGTCAACAGAGCAGCAAAAGTCGGTTTAACCAACCAACCAACAGGAGAACATAATAGAGACCAAATTCACATTGGAAAAATACCTGTTTCTTTCTTTGTGGGAATAAAATAAATATTTATATAATTCATGAACAACATTCCAAACTTGAACTTGATTCCGTTTTTGTGACAGAAGAAAACATTGAAGGTGATTTAAAAACAGAAATTCTAAAAATAGATAACCAATTAACATTTTTATAATTCATTAGGGTCAGTGCAATATTATTTAGCACAATTATTTCTATAAATCGGAAAGTTGGATAGGATAAAACACAAATGAAGGGCGATATTAAGACCTGGTCTAAATCTAATAGAAAGATCTATGCATGAAATATCCACTTTTTAAAATGATATTTTTCTTTAAGACAATTAATAATTATTTTCTACAGACGGATCCTCGATCCTTCATAGCCCATCCTCGAAATGGTCTTCTGACAACATAGGAAAATAGTTTTTTGCCAAAATAAGATGTGGTAGCCTCATCCATGTGAAAATTTGAATTATGAAAATTTGAATTATGAATTATGACATCCCCAAATTTAGAAGTGCTGTTATAAAGGGTCTTCATATTTTTTTTTTAAAAAGAAGTAACCCACAAACTAGCAAAGTAACAGAAAGATCATACCAAAGATGGGGAGTTACTGTTTTATGGAGTTATGAATATTAAAAGTGGGCCTATATTAAGCATTTTTGCGAGGAGATAAACTGCCCACTAAGAACAGGTAGTAAGTAAATTGGGGGCCGAAAGCTTGGAAATAATGAAATCCCAAAGTAACTGTAGAATATATTTTGTATAGTATATTTTTTGTTCAACTTTTTGCAAATTTCTCCCTTGATGGCTGGCTAAACAACGTATTATTCGAGGGTCATCTATTGTGAATGATTATGAGGTGTGTTGTCTTGCTTCGTCGTTATTATCTATTTGACTTGAAGTCATCGCCGTCACTGGTATTTACACGCGTTTAGTACACAAACAAAATTATACACACACACACACACAACAGGCATTCGAGCACATGATGGGGGGGGCAACACACACACACGCAAGAGAACAACAGGAGAAAGCTTCACAAGACTGATTCTTGTTGGGGTCTTCTTTATTCTCTCTCTACATGTTATTATTTAGTTTGTTTTTTCGCATTGCAACAACAACTAAAACCAATAAAAAAAAAACTTTTCAATGAATAATTTTCTTTCCACAGTTTCTTTTCTTTGTTATCTTCATATTCTTCGGATATTTTATTTTTTGTTTATATTTTACACACAAGATTTATTCTTATTCGAGGAGAATAAAGGTATTTTGCACTTTCAGAAAGGCAAGTAGATGCTATGTGTTTTTGTTATGGAATTGATTCCTTATTTGTTTTTTTTTTTTTTTTTTGTATTTCAAAGCTTTGGGCTTTAATAATATCGTTTTTAACACTTAATAGTAAAATAAGTCAGACTTTAGTAATCTCACAACATTTTTGTCTCTCTATCTCTCTCGCCCTGTCATTTGCAATCTCTCACTCTCAACTGGGCTTAACAAGTTTAAGCTCTTGTTGTTAATTATTGAACATAACGTAATTGTATTGTATAGGTAAGAGGGTTGGGGCTCCCATCTATACTTGAGGGTATGGAATGGATGGATACATGAGAATGGCGGCTTCGTGTATAAATCGTGTTCTAAACGAGAATCATCGGCATCAAAGCATTGCTTTGTAGCTGTCTGGCTTTGCCTTGCTTTATTTTCAATTCCCTTTCCATTGTGTTTTTGTTTTCTTAATTCGTTTTGGATTTTGCTTTTTTTCGCTTTCATATGTATCTTTTTTATTATTTATTTTTTTGATACTTTTATTGTTATTATTCACCAAATGGTCGGTCCAAATGTAGTTTTTAATTTTGCCATTGCCATTGTTGTTGTATTTATAAATATTCTATTGAATAAATAACTTGTAGATTTGTTCATAAACAAAAATACAAAGATGATTAAGAAGAAGAAGATAAAAAAGAGTCAGAGTGAGTATCAGCCAGACACAAAAGCATCATCGGCCTGAGATGCCAATTGCGAGGTTTCCATCAACGATTTCTGTGAAATATTAAAGGAATTTCAATATATATTTTTTAGTTTTCTAAATGCTCAGCACAAGCAGAATGTTGATATCGATA